GTGCTGGTGGTGGTGTTGGTGCTGGTGCTGGTGCTGGTGGTGGTGGTGGTGGTGGTGGTGGTGGTGGTGGTGGTGGTGGTGGTGGTGCGGCGCGGTGGTGCGGCGCGGTGGTGGCGGGCGGATGGGCGCGCGAGAAAGAGGCCCGCGCTGGGGCGAGAACGCCATCCTGAACGACGGAGGCCAAACACCGATCCGAAAATGAGGCCCACGCTGCAGCGGGAGCACGATTCGGAACGATTCGGGAGCAGAAATGAGGCCGATGCCTCAGCGAGAGCAGCATTTTGGAAATTAGCCTGGCGAAGAACCCAACCATATGCAGTTGTCAGTACCGCAGCTGCGGGTTTCATCTTCAAAGGAACTCCCCATAGGACCACGGAACGTGTGAGGGGTGTGCCGAGATGGGTGCCACTGGGGCATTCGGTGAAGCTCCCTATGGGGACATGAAACACGCGCGGGGCATGGGTGCCGACATGGGTGGCGGAAACGCATGTGCGGGCCGCCACTGGGGCCTCCAGTGGAGCTCCCTATGGGTCCCCGAAACATGATGCTGCTGCGGGGGGGGTGCCGGGATGGGTGGCGGAGACGCATGTAAGCGCCGCTACTGGGCCTTCGGTGGAGCTCCCTCTGGGGCCACGAGGCGCGTGTGGGGTGTACTGGGATGTGTGGCGGGGACGCATGTGAGCGCCGCCGCTGGGGCCTTCGGTGCAGCTCCCTATGGGGCCACGAAGCGTGTGAGGGTGTGCCGAATTGGGTGCGGGTGGTGACGCATGCGGGCGGTGCCACTGGGGCCTTCGGTGGAGCTCCCTATGGGGCCACGAAACCTGTTGTTGTGAGGGGCGTGCCGGGATGGGTGGCGGGGACGCATGTGAGCGCGGCCGCTGAGGCCTTCGGTGGAGCTCCCTATGGGGCCACGAAACGTGTGAGGGGTGTGCCAGAATGGGGGGTGGAACCGCATGCGGGCGCAGCCACTGGGGCCTTCGGTGGAGCTCCCTATGGGGCCACGAAACGTGTGAGGGTTGTGCCAGAATGGGGGGTGGAACCGCATGCGGGCGCAGCCACTGGGGCCTTCGGTGGAGCTCCCTATGGGGCCACGAAGCGTGTGAGGTGTGTGCCAGAATGGGGGGTGGAACCGCATGCGTGCGCAGCCACTGGGGCCTTCGGTGGAGCTCCCTATGGGGCCACGAAGCGTGTGAGGGGTGTGCCGAGTTGTGGTGCGTGACGCAATGCGGCGCAGCGCTGGACGCCCTTCGGCGTGCCACCCTAAGGGGGCCACGAAACGTGTGAGGGTGTTCCAATTGGGTGTGCGTGACGCATGCCGGGCCGGCAGCCCTGGGTACTTCGGCGGAGCTCCCTATGGGGGGCCCACATGACGTGTGAGGGTGTGCCGAAATGGTGTGGCGTGACGCATGCGGGCGCCGCACTGGGGCCATTCGGCGGAGGTCCCTATGTGGCCACAAGCGTGAAAGGGGTGTGCCGAATTGGGTGTGCGTGACGCCAATGCGGGCGGCCGCACTGGGGCCTTCGCGTAGCCTCCCTATGGGGCCACGACACGTGTGAGGGGTGTGCCGAATTGGGTGTGCGTGACACATGCGGGCGGCAGCACTGGGGCCTTCGGCGGAGGTCCCTATGAGGCCACGACACGTGAGAGGGGTGTGCCGAATTGGGTGTGCGTGACGCATGCGGGCGGCAGCACTGGGGCCTTCGGCGGAGGTCCCCATGAGGCCACGAAACGTGTGAGGGGTGTGCCGAATTGGGCGTGCGTGACGCATGCGGCGGCAGCACTGGGGCCTTCGGCGGAGCTCCCCTATGGGGGCCACGAATCGTGTGAGGGGGTGTGCCGAATTGGGTGTAGCGAGACCGCATGCGGGCGGCACTCCGCAGCGTCTGGGCCTTCGGCGGAGCTCCCTATGGGGCCACGAAACGTGTGAGGGGTGTGCCGAATTGGGTGTGCGTGACGCGTGCGGGCGGCAGCACTGGGGCCTTCGGCGGAGCTCCCTATGGGGCCACGAAACGTGTGCGGGGTGTGCCGAATTGGGTGTGCGTGACGCATGCGGGCGGCAGCACTGGGGCCTTCGGTGGGGCTCCCTATGGGGCCACGAAAAGTGTGAGGGGTGTGCCGAATTGGGTGTGCGTGACGCATGCGGGCGGCAGCACTGGGGCCTTCGGTGGAGCTCCCTATGGGGCCACGAAACGTGTGAGGGGTGTGCCGAATTGGGTGTGCGTGACGCATGCGGGCGGCAGCACTGGGGCCTTCGGCGGAGCTCCCTATGGGGCCACGAAACGTGTGAGGGGTGTGCCGAATTGGGTGTGCGTGACGCATGCGGGCGGCAGCAAGGAGGAGGCAGCGGGAGGAAGGAGAACGCGGGGCACCGTCTCTTCAAAACGAGGACCCAACACCACAGGATGGTTGGGAAAAAACGCAAGCGAAAACCCGTTTCCCGGGAATCCTGTGTGTAAAAAACAGTGCGCGGGGGGGGGTCGGATATCTTCGGGACGCCATCAGGGGAAGTGGGAGAGTATTTTCATATTGTGTAATTGTGGAGAGGAAAGGAGAGGAGAGGACAGGAGAGGACAGGAGGACGCGGGGACCGTTTCTTCAAAACGAGGACCCAACACCACAGGATGGTTGGGAAAAACAACCCGACTGACCCCAAGACAGCTCAACACGGCCCCCAAGAGACCCGCGAGACAGCCCAAGAGGGCCCCAAAGATCTACAAGACGGCATCGAAGCGCCCAAAGAGGGACCCACGACAGCCCAGAGAAGGCCCCAAGACGGCCTCCAGGATCTCTTAGGCCCCTTCGAAGCCCCCAGAGGCCCCCGAGAGGCCCCCAAGAGGCCCGGGAGGCCCCCGAGACTCCACGGGAGGCCCCCAAGAGGCTTTCAGGAAGCCCCCAGGAGGCCTCAAGAGGGCCTCCTCTTCTTCTTCAACCTATTTGTTTTCTTCTTCTTCTCCTCCTCCTCCTCCTTCCTCATCCTCCTTCGTTCTCCTCCTCCTCGTTCTCCTCCCTCCCCTCCGCATTTCTCTTCCTCCCCCAGGTGGTCCCCAGAGGAGTTCCACACCAGCTGCGAAAGCACCTAGTCAAATCACTTGGCCAGGCTTCGGCCCAACGTTTGGTCGCAAGAGCGTTTCCAAAGGCAAGGGGCGGCGATGATTCGCCGTAGGCGTCTTCAATCCGCCGCCCCCTGTTGATTTATCAAAGTGAGCGCATTATTCGGCGTTTCGACATTGGGCGGAAAGGGGGGGGAGGGAGGGGGGGGTCTGGCTCCGGACCTCTGCTTCGTGCGACTGTTTGCGACGGTGCGTCCTACGAGGGGAGGCTCCACCCGCTCGAAACAGGTACCAAGAAAAAAGCCAAGATCTACTCCACGGGGGGGAGGGGGCAGTGGGGGTGCATCTTACAGAAATATTTCATTCTTAATATTTTAATATATGAACTTCTTCTTTATAAACTCTGTTTATGCTAATTCTTTTAACTTTTATATATGTATGTATCAATATCACTGATTAATTGTCGATCTTGAAATGAATACCAAAAAAATAACATAAACAAAAGTGCAAGGACTGAATACTTAAGGTATTTATCGAACTAGTTAACCCAGAAACACATGTTTCTGGAAACATTTTGAAGCAAGAACACCATATAAGTCCCTGCGCCGATCGGCAAAACAATGAATACAAGACAACGATCACCAGCGGGGTGCCTGGCGTGCCGAATGGCTGTCCGGTCCTTCTGTAAGGGCCCCCGCCGGCCTCCCGCTCAACCCGCCGACCCGGCGGATCTAGTGTACAGGCCATCGGCTCTCCGCCTTACAAGCGGCCCCCAAGAAGGCTCGCAAAACGGCCACGGCCCCAAAATAGCTCTCCCCTTACAGACGGATTTAAAATGGCTCTCCCCTTACAGACGGCCCCAAAATGGCTTTACAGACGGCCCCCAAATGGCTTGCAAAAGGCTCGCCCCTTACAGACGGCCCCAAAACATGTCTTTCAAGACGGCTAAGACGGCGCCAGGAGAGCACCAGATGCCTCCAAGATGCCTCCAAGATGTCTCGAGGACAGCCCACGATGCACCCAAGGCGGCCCAGGACGGCGCACGACGGCCCACGAGGCCCTCAAGACGCCCCAGATGGGCGGCAAAAGGACCTCAAGGAGGCCAGAAACATTGATTACCCCTAAGTTGTGCAATGATTTTAGCGTTCTCGCCTTTTTGGGCGTCCGACGCTCCAAGACAGCTCCATGGGCCTCCAAAACAGCCCCAACACGACCCAATAGGCCCCCTGAGAGGCCCGCAAGAAGGCCCAAGAAGGCTCCCAGACGGCCCAAGAGGCTCCCCAAACGGCCCGATAGCGCCAAGAGAGGAACCCACGTCTGCCCAGAGAGGGCCCCAGAACGGCCTCCGAGGCCCCTTGGAGGCTCCCAGATGCCCCCAAGAGGCCTCCAAGAGGCCCCAGGAGACCCCCAAGAGGCTCCTCAGAGGCCCCCACGAGGCTCCCGGGAAGCCCCCAGGAGGACCCAAGAGGGTCGCAAGGGGTCTCTTCTTCTCCCCCCTCATATTCCTCCTCCTCCTCCTCCTCCTCCTCCTCCTCGTGTTCCTTCTCCTCCCTTCCCTCCTCCTTTCTCTTCCTCTCCCAAATGTTCCCGCAAGGGGGTCAAGAACGGCTGGGGAAGCACATCGCACCACAGCTTCGTCAGACTTCGGCTCAACGTCTGGCCGCATGGGCGATTCCAAAGGCAGGCGGCGGCGGCGATTCGCCGCAGGTGCCTTCGATCTGCGCTGCGTGATGTGACGAGCACTGCTGCGCGCCAAGGTCTGTAGTCTTGCGAGATACGAGTGCTAGTAGTACAACATTCGTTGCCTCCCTGACACATGGTAGTGGTGGTAGAGAGCAAATCGATCACCTTCGGCTCAACGTCTGGCCGCATGGGCGATGTCAAAAGGCAGGGGGCGTCGGTGATTCGCCGCAGGCGCCATGGATATTGAAAACACGCTGCGCGCGCCGTCGAGCCCTGGGACGCGGCCGAGCCGGCCCCTTCGGCGACGAGCCCCCTCCGCGACGATCCTCCACTGCCCTCGGCAAGGGGCGGCGGCGACTCGCCGCAGGCGCGCCCTCGATGCTTAAAACACGCTGCGCGCGCCGCGGAGCCTCGGGCGGGTGGTAAGGGGGAGGGGTGGCCCAAATTCGGGCCGGGCGAAAGGGGAGGATTTTGCAAAGGGGGAGTTTGAGAATCAGCTCACGTAGCTGATTTTCCCGGCGCCTCCTGGCGCCAGGAGGCGCCCATTCCTCGATACATCGAGGAATGGGCCCGGCGGCGGGGCCGAAACCAGCTGCATGCACCAAATTTCGTAACCCGCCCTTTCTCTGTCCCCCCCTTTCGTCCAGCCCGATCGGCTGTGGACAAACCTCCCTTTAGCAAACTTCCCCTCAGTGAGAACGACCTGGGGCCGAAATCGACGGACCTGGACCCGCAACAATGACGGCCGCGACGCCCTCTCGCGAACCGAAAACGGCCAATTCCTGAATCGACGTGTCAGGGTAGGAGGTCTGTCCACCTCCGACCCGACAAGGGTTCAAGGGTTCAGGGTACTCCAGATTTCGTAATAAAAGGGAGGGGGTCTGGACCCTCCAGGACGAGCCATTTCAGACCCCCCCCCATGGGCGAACCCTCCAAAACATCGTCCCCAGACCCCCCCAGGCCCTCCAGGATAGCCTGGAAGAGACCCCCCCCCGAAATGAGACCCCCCTCCCTTTATTACGAAATCTGGAGTAGGGGGGCGAAGGAAGGGGCCTTCAAGGGTCCCTGGCAGGCCCCTCTTGGAGCCCCTTCAAGGGGCCCCTTCAAGGAGCCCCTTTAAGGGGCCCCTTCAAGGGGCCCCTTGAAGGCCCCTTGAAGGCCCCTTCCAAGGGGCCTTCAAGGGGCCCTGGCAGGCCCCTCTTGGAGCCGGCGGGGGCCCCCACAAGGGCCCTAACGTTATGATGGCGGCCGCGCTGCACAGGGCTTAGATATATGATAAACCAGAAAAGTACCCGAAATGTTGAGAAATAGTTGTTTTGTTGGTTTCTAAAAAAGTTGTTTTTTTCATTGCCCCTGGGTTATACCGAAAAATGCAATTGAAGGTTGTACATAATGCACATCATGTTGTGCATGAGAGCAAATGGCTTGGACGCAAGGTGATGCAATGCGATTTTCCAAAACCCAAGCGGGGCGGTGGGCGTGGGCGACAGCTTTTCGACCGCTTCGCCTTGGACGTACGAGCTAGCACGGGCGACCCAACGGGGCCACCATTTGGCGAGAACGTGTACTACCCGTATCGTCTTTATTAGGGCTGCCGCCCCTCCGCTGCGTCCCCCATGCTCCACGCTCCACGCCCTCATGCTCTCTGCCGCAACATGCTCATTTAATGTGTTAGGGCTGTCGCCCCGCCGCCGTCCCGCATATAACGCAATACGGCACCGCAGAGACCCTAGAGCACCACACTGCACAGTAGCACCACAGGGCCATCGAGCACCACAGGGCGCTAACCATAGGACACCGAATAGCGCCACAAGGCACTGAAGTGCAATCGGTGATCTTATATTCAGTGGCATGCAATCGAAGAGCTTGTTCCTACTGTCAGACCAGGCCCCTGGAACGCAAGTATGACCCCCCAAGGCATACGTATCGTCCCCTCCACTGGCACTGTTGGACATACAGGCGGAAGGACGGTCGTTCACAGAGACCCTAAACAGCAATGGTGACGAATACGTTACACACAGAGGCACGCACACACACACACACTACATGCACACGCGCACGCTCTACTACTCGAAATGACCCTACGCAGATTCGCTGTTTAGGGATTCGCATTCGTTCCCATTGGTCGGGAAACGAACGTAGGAGGATGCATGTAAACGGAAGGATGCAGAAGGGGAGGGTGTACGATGAGGGAGGATGGGGAGGATGAGGAGGAAAGGGGAGGTCGAGGGAGGGAGGAGGAAAAGGAAGAGAAATTAGAAAGAGGTAGGAGGACGGAGAAGGAAGATGGATGGGAATTCGGCGCTAGCGATGGCGACAGCTTCGACGTTCAAACAGCACAGGGAGGAGGAGGACTAGGGGGAGCAGCAGGAGGAGCAGGAGCAGGAGGTAGGAGGATGAGGACGACAAGGATGTAGGACAATAATGGGGCTGGCTGGGAGGAGGGCCCGCCGGAGGACAAAGAGGAAGAGGAGGGGGAGGAGGAGGATAAGGAGGGAGGAGGACATTCCCACAGTGCAGGCCGCGCGCTCTCGGCGCACGTCGTGCCACCTCTGTCGGTGGCCTCGGCCTGCCCCTTTCCTCCCCCATCCTTCCTCCTACCTCCCTCCGTTTTCCTCCTCCCTCCTTTTACCTCCTCCATCCTCTACGTCCTCCTTCCTCCTCCCTCCTCCTCCTCCCTCCTTCTCGCACGGCCCCCTTAGGCCATGTCCACGACGCTCTTGATCCACTCCTGGAGCGGCTCGGCGAGCGTCATGCCCACCACCACGCCGCGAATGGAGTACTCCTTGAGCTCCTTCTCGATCTTCTTGCCGAACTTGTGGATCTGCACCTCATCGTTCTTGAACGTCTCGTAGCCCAGGAAGAGCTTCGCCTCCACGAGGCAGCGGGCTGCCTTCTTGGAACCGCTCTCCACCATCTTCGTGAGCTTCTCGGGCTCGGGCCTGCCGAAGAGGTCGTGCGCAGCACTCAAAGCCTGAGCCATCGCGGTGACCTCCATCAGCAGGTCCTCAATCAGCTTGCCATCCACCTTGAATAGCGTCTTCCTGGCCAAGGCGTAGTCCTTCTTCATATCGCCCTTGAGCTTGTCGGTCCAGCGGCCCTTATCGTTGTCAATGTCATTGAGCACATCGTCGATCTTCGCGATCTTGGCCGTCATCTCCGTGGCTTTTACCTCTAGGATCAGAGCACCTGCCGCCTGCAGCTCCTCCTCGCACGTCATGTGGACCACGAACGCTTGGCTTGTATTCGGGTTGGCCATGTTGTCGAGCTCTCCCTTCACGCACTGCATGCTGGAAGCCATGGCCTGCAGAGTCCGCATCGCCGAAGCCGACTTCACGCGAGCAGCCGTGTCGCCACCCAAGCCCTCGTACTCAGCCAGCTTCGAAAGCAAGTCGAGAGTTTTTCCGAACACCTGGAACCCGCTAGTGATGCTCTTCTCCACCTTGAATTTGAGGTCGAAGCCGCATATCGTCAAGCAGGCACCGATCAACTGCTTGGCACCGTCTGTCGTCCAGTGATCAGGCTTGTCCACAACGGTGAGCACCTCGCGCAGCTTCTCGTTCACGTTGATGTCCATATATTTGACGTAGGGGGTGACCGACTCGACGATCTGGACGAAGGCGTCGCAGCTGGAGGCAATGGCAGTCTCAATCCACGCGGGGTCGATGGCCTGCACTGCTCGGTCGAACGCGTGCTTGGCTCCAGCTGCCTTGCTCGCGAGGCCCAGTGCCTCGATCTGAGGCTTATACTTGGCGGCTGGGAAGATTGCGCACTCCAGGATGCCGTTCGCCTTCGTGTTGAGCGCCTCCACGACGGACCAATCCACAGGCGCCTCCTGAACGGCAGCGCTGCCGCTACCCTCGGAGTGCTGCCCCTCCTGGATAGCTTTATCCATGAACTTGTTCAGCGCGCCAGCGATCAAACCTTTGAGGTAGGTCGCCATGCCTTCACGGAGCGAGCTGATCAAGTCGGTGCAGCCGTCGAGCATGGTAGATAGGGTGGTCGCGTCTGGCACGTCCTTGTCAGTGGTGTAACTCTTCAGGTCCTTGACGTACGCCGTGTACGTGGGCAAGGTCTTCTTGGTGCTGTCGGCCTTACTTTTGATATCTGATACAATCTCGTTCCACCCAGTCGTGCCGACCAATGCCGAACCGACGGTCTCCATGATAGTGGCGCTGCCCTCATCAGCGCTCTTCATCACTGCGCTGGGGGTCACTAGGGCGAGAGCGTCGGCCAAGTGAGAGGTGTCCACGGGCTTGCAGATGGTCGTCAGCGCCCTCACCACGCGCATGAACTGGAGGATGACCGCCAGGAAGTTCTCATCCAAAGAGTCTGGCTTCCTCGCGAAGGTGCGCTGGGCTCGCGCACAAAACCTGAGGATCGCATCGATGGCGGCGGGCCCTGAAGTGATCAAAGGGACGAGGCAATAGTTCAGCAGATGGTCCCTCATCTTGATCGACTTCTCCATGTTGCTACCCTCTGTCATGTAGAGACAGGGCTTCATCGGGTCGAACGTGCGGTCGAATTCGTCTCCCTCCTCCTCGCTGCCGACCTTCCACGGGACGATGGTGGATAACATGTCCTCGATGGCCTCGTCTGACATCTGCGCGGTAATCTCACCCATGTCGGCCAAGCGCCTCTCCAGCAAGTCATCCTCTGGAAGAGGATTTCCTCCTCCTCCTCCCCGTCCGCCTCATCCCTCCTCTTCCCTCTTCCTTCTCCTCCCTTTCCTTTTCCTCCCTCTCCTCCTCTCTCTCCATCCTCCTCCCTCCTCTCCCCACCTCCTCCTGCTCAAGGTGGAGAGGGAGCAGGAGAAGGAATGAGATGCAGGATCTCCGTTGCCCCATTGTTTTATGAACGGCTCAAGGTCCTTGCGCTGTGACGGCCAGTGCTCCTTGATTTCGTCCAACGCGCGGATGCGCTGGTCGAGCTCGTCGCGCGGGGCCTTCTGCAAATTCAACTTGTTGAACTCGACGCACTTCGCCACGAGGTCCATGTGGCGCTTGAAGACGAAGTACGAGGCCTTGGGGGGGGTCGCCTCGGCCATCTCATCGAGCAGCTTCTTGGCGAAGCGCTCGTGGACACCCGAGTGGGTCTGGGCCAACACGCTCTCGAAAGACAGCAACTTCATGAATCCGTCCTCACTGATCCGCTGGCGAGAGTTAGCTTTGCCATCAGGCGAGACGAAGGTGCCCATGTCGGACTTCGCAATGGCACTCCTAGCACCAGGGGCGCCGCACCCGCCCTCCTTGGAGGCTCCGCACACAGACAGTGACAGGGAGCTCCTCCCACGCTTGAACCTCTCCTGCTGCTGGTTCTCGCTGCGCTTCGCCGCGGGAGTGCCCCCGGCGCTGGCGGCTGCCTGCTCTGGTGGCGAGGCATCCTCCGGGAGGAACAT